GCCGGCGGAGGGGGCGAGGCCCGGCGGGAACCAGCGTTCTCCCTCCGAACGGCCTTGCCCTGCTGTTGGCACGGAGAGCTGCCTTACCCTCAGGCTGTGGCTATCGAAAGATAGGATTTTTGTTATATTTATTTTTTGGTTTCTTGGCCAAACGTGTGGGTTTCATTCCTAAAAAGTCACGGTGCATCTCCCAGAGCCCTTTCCCCGCGGGTCCGCCCGGCTGTGAGGGGAGCGCTTGTGCTGGAGGCAGCGAAGCGGCTGGGTTTCAGCCTTCCCTAACGCTTTCCAGATCTCCTCGGGAATTACCTCAAATGTGGCATTTGTTGTTTTGCTTTTCTTGGCGACCTTTCCCAGGTCGCTAGGAAGAGACTCACAGTCAGCGCCGAGATGTTCACCGCCTGAAAATCACCTAAATAAAGTTAAAAAATGGGAGAGAGGGAAGTAGAAACAGAAAAGGGAGACCCCAGAGAGCAAGACAGAACTTTAAAAGGTTTGGGAAGCAGAACTCAAAAGTTAGGATGCACAAAGGATCTAAAAACGCCAGAAAGTGGCGGGAAACTGAAAAAAAAAAATTGTGTGAATTGTTTGGTTTTGTCTGCCTTTGTCTGTTTACTACTTAGACTTCTAAAAAGAAGCATTGGGCTCCTCAGTGTAGGCTGTGTTTGATGGCAGCCAAACTAGATGGCCGATGATGAATTGCTCAGCTTAATTGCTTGCTAACAAGAGACGTGTGCGTGTAACTTCATGATGGCTAAAGCTTTTCGTTGCTTTGTATTTCTTTTTTTTTCCTCAGCCTTTGCGCTAGCACTTACCAAAGTCTCATAACACTTGAATTCAAGTTATTTCACTGTCAAAACAGTGAAAATTATTCAAGATACTAAAAGGAAGAGGAGACAACCTAAACAGTATATGCTTTTTACTACTACTAGCTGATAAGGGTATTTTCTTCTTTAATGAATGTTATTCATAGAAAGGAAAGCAGGAGGAAGGAGGAGTTGTATTATGATACTAGTTTTTATGCTGGTCAGAGTCTCAAAAATCACTTTATAAGTCATGGATGCCCTGTTTCCATACTTGCTGGATGCGAATAGGCATTAAGTGGATTAATAACAGTCTGTTAAATTTAACAATACAGTGAACATCAGGAATGAATTAATCTGAGACCCTTCGGTAACCAGCACAGCTACTTAAACGATGTCCTTTGGTGCACACAAATATTTGTACGCTATATGCAGAAGGGGTGGGGAAGCCGAGCGCTTTTTCACAAAGGAGGTTCTGTTTTCAGTAACATGATTCCAGTCAGTGCTGGCCAAAGCAGTAATGCCTACAGCAATTATGACAAAGGGAAAGTATTTTTAATTTGTTGGGGTTAGACCTCTTTTGTCTCATCAGTGCTATGCAAGTATAAAGAAAAGAAAGGTGAGGGGGGAGGGTTTGGATGCCGGCGGTTTCAATTTATGACGTGTGAAAGAATGTCTGGTGTCAGAGTAGTATGTGAGACGTTGAAATGTAAGATTTTTAAGGTTTAGAACATGAGGAAGGAACCTATGTTGTGATAGAAAATATGGAAGAGAAATTCCGGGCATTTCTTTAAACATGAAGTTGCTACACTGAACATCATTCTATTGAGAGCAAGAGATGTCCAAATATCTTGTCCTTGTCTGTTTCTGGTTTAAAACAAGTTTCATTTATTTGGTTGGATGGCTTGACACCTGGTTTGTTTTCTGTTGAAGTTTATCCTGCCATGTGAATGTCACCATCAGTGGAAAAAATAAGCTGCTCCATAAATGGTTGTTTTTCTGGTGACCTGTATCCCACTCATTCCCCTGCCTTTGCCTTGCAGCTCTTAATCTCCCAACTCGTGCTTTCTTTTAAAGACTCATGCTCTCATTTCCGTCCAAGTTCAGTTTCAATATCCCTAAAATATCTCAAGGCACGAGATGCTTTGGGTTTTGGGAGCGTTTGTTCGTACGTTGGTGTTTGGTTAGCAGCAGACCGAGCTGAATGGGAACAGCTGAGTTCCTCTTGCAGCATTTTCCCTCACCGGAGTGACTAATACTTGTGTTTCTTTGAATCCAGATGCTGATTGTTGAAGATTGTAAGGGTATAGGTGTGGGAGACTTTTAACTCTCTGTTAAACTTGACAGAGGCTGGCTGTTGTGTTCTGCAAGTAGTTAAGAGGAGACTGGCAGAGACCACAATTGCACAACTCTTGTTTTATTTGGAAACCAAGGAGAAAGAGTTACATTTTTTGTAAGCACTTGGTGCCATGTGCTGAAGAGTGGTTCGTGTGTCTTATTGTTGGCAATTAAACAATTCATCTCTGTAACCAAGACTGATTGAAAAAATATTTCTCATGTTAATCTTGAGTCAACACTAGACTTTAACTGGTGTAGTTATATCGAACATCGATTTGTAACCATCACAGGTCTGTGAGCAAATGTCTTTGGATTAGATGCAGGTAACGCATCAAAGCTTCGGTCAGTTTAACTTGCCTTGCTGCTTTAACCTGAAATAAAGGCTTTAAAATTTATAGTTTTCTGAGATACAGAGTTGTAATAATATCTATTTAATAACTCCTTTGCAGTTTTGCTTTTTTTCCCCCTAAAACGACGATGTACCTCTACTCCAATGAATTCCTGTGAGTTGAGTGTTTCATTTCATGACCGTGTCAGAATGAAATGTGTTTGAAATAACCAGTAAGATTCCATGACACAGTGACAGCGCAATCTTTCTGGAAAACTTGTGGGTTTTCTTTAATAGATAATTTAATGTTTTCCAGTCCCTTTCCTTAACTGCCTGTTGCTTGCTTCCAGCTTGTGGATTAGCCACTAAATAAACCTCACTGCAGGAATAAGACATCAACTTTTTCTTCCTTCTGCAGAATTAACGCACGTCTTTTCCAAAGTTCAATACTGATGAATCTGTCCCAAGATGCAGTTTTTCACTGGGCTGCTGTGCTGTCGTTGTTCCTAGTTAGGAACTTCTAAGTGGTTTTTTGTAAAGAATAAAACGATAGACTAAGTCTTTATTTGCAAAAGGGACTAAATTATTATATCTTTGTATTTTACTGTTAATTTCACTGTATTTACCTTATTTTATTTTATTTTTTCAGACATTCTTTCTAACCTCTTTGATCTGAGGAGATGTGTTTTTAAGCACCCTGAGTCCTTTCATCTTCTCAGTGTTTGGTTTCGCTCACACGTTGTGCCTTAGAGCTTCGGGTCTTTTCAGTCAGAGGCCCTGAACGGTGTGACCTCTCTGTTTTCTTTGGGAATATTTCTCAGTAATTCTCAGATGCTTGCTCCTGACATTTCCAACTGTTTGTTGACTGGGAGTCTGTGTCTCAAGTTCTAGATGGATTGATTCACCGTATGGCAAATTGTCAGTTTCCTCTTGTGATCTTTTTCCTTAGTAATACTTCTGTTTCTCTTTGGTGATATTGTAGCAAAAACACACTCAGGAATATGGAAAGATCTTCAAGTCTCACTTTGGTCCCCAGTTTGTTGTATCCATTGCAGATCGAGATATGGTTGCTCAAGTCCTCCGAGCAGAAGGTAGAGCACCACAAAGAGCTAACATGGAATCCTGGCAGGAATACAGAGACTTACGAGGGAGAGCTACAGGACTTATTTCTGCGTAAGTGTTGCCACTCCTTCATTTTCTTTGTTTTCTTGTGATTTTCTGAAGGACTGCACAGGTCATGGTGGAATTCAGGCTTTTATGTGTGGGTGTTGCCTAGTTCTGCCACCCAAACGGCGACGTTTGGAAATTTGTTCTGTCTGGTGAGGGGAAGAGGATGGGAATTTATGGTGAATTGTCCGTTACGCTGTAAATTTTCAAGGGGATGGTAATGATGCGTAGTTTGAATGTGGACTGAGTTCCCTTTCGTGAAAACATTCTTGGGGAATGTGTATCAGACGGAGTTCTCTGAGCTGACTCACTCACCTGGAAGCAGAATAGGGCTTACTGACTTTGGCACAGCAAAACAAAACATGATTTGGGGTTTTTTTTTGCTTCAGATCTAGACTGGTGCATTGGGTTGGCAGTGTGCTGTGTGGACTTGTTGGCTCAGGCTGGCTGTAGCCTGATCGTTCACCAAAGTGCCGCCTCAGTACCTTAGTGCAGAGCGGTCCCTGTGAGGAAAATTCACACTGTAACGCATCCCCACGCAGATATTTTTGTACGTGGCTGATTCTAGAGGCGTTATCTGTCTTTAAAGCTTGCATAACCTGGCAGCGGGTGGGCGTGTGGTTAATTGCCACTGGGAACTACTCACAGTCCCCGCTGACACAGGCTGTTTATTTAGAGGGAGACTAATTTCCTGAGTCATGGACAGTCTGTTTCTGTCATAGTGGCAAAAAGCATTATATATTGTGCTGCAGACCCGAATCTTAGGCTGCGGTTCAGAGTCAACCTAACGGTTCCTTGAGCACCTCCGCTACGAGGACAGGCTGCGGGAGCTGGGGTTTTTCAGTCTTGAAAAGAGAGGGAGACCTAACAGCTGCCTTCCAATACCTGAAGGGAACCTACAGAACAGCTGGGGAAGGACTTTTTACAAGAGTGTCCAGCGATAGGACAAGGGGAAATGGGTTTAAGTTCAAGGAGAATAGATTTAGATTGGATCTTAGGAAGAAATTCTTCAGTACGAGGGCGGCAAGACTTTGGAATGAATTGCCCAGAGACGTTGTGGCTGCCCCCTCCCTGGAGGTGTTCAAGGCCAAGCTGGACGGAGCCTTGAGTATCATGATCTAGTTGAGAGGCGTCCCTGCCCATGACAGGGAGGTTGGACTAGATGATCTCTAAGGTCCCTTCCAGCCTAGGCCATTCTAGGATTCTATGATAAATCAAGAGATAGTCAGAAAATGTCTGTCAAAGAGATTAAATTCTTTTGCTGGCCAATGCATTGCTATATGGTGCAGCATTTTTGCTCCGGGTGAAAGAATTTAGTGGGAGATATATATCAATTTAAGGTAAATACATAAAAGACAATTCTTTGTCTTCATAAGTTGCTGAAAGACATCCCTGGAACAGCTATTCCCAAATACCCTGCTCAAATGAAGCATGCAGATGCTACAATTCAGATTTGTAGTCTTCAGCACAAAGATTTCAATACATAACTCACATATAGGAGAATCTAGCTGTAAATTGTTTCTTTATAGCCAGGTCTGCTATCTTGTTACTTTGTGGGTTTAGAGTTAAAGTGACTGAAAGTGATGTATCAGTAATGGGATTTAGGATACTAGCTCAAATCGTCAGTTTGTCAGATCTGAATGTGATACCTTTTTTTGGTAATTACGCGCCAGTTCAAGGCAGAAGCTGTTTTGCAGACTGTCTGTTCAAATACATATTTAAAGTAGTTTTAAGAAGAAAATTTCTAATATAGAGATCCTTGTGAAATTCAGAACACTGAGTGGGCAAGTCCTGTCACTCAAAACAGAGACTGACTTACACATGCACATATGTGTTGTTACACTGAAATTTAATGAGGATGTGCAAAAAATGCAGAAATAAAAACGTAGGATCGTAGCACCAGATATCATAGAATCATAGAATGTGTGGGGCTGGGAGGGACCTTTAAAAATCATCTAGTCAAACCCCCCTGCAGTGAGCAGGGACATCTTTAACTAGATCAGGTCATACACTGTCATCATTATCTTTTGACATGAAAATCTGTAAACAGTTTCATTGCAGAACTCTTACCCAGCTGATGATTGTTAAGGAAAATTTTGCATAGATATTATTAATAATTTCTTCTAGGGAGGGGGAGCAATGGCTAAAAATGAGAAGTGTGCTGAGGCAAAAAATTCTGAAACCCAAAGATGTGGCTATTTACTCTGAAGGAGTCAATGAAGTTATCACAGACTTAATTAAAAGAATCCACACCCTCAGAAGTCAAGAGAACGATGGGGAAACAGTGACCAACGTTAACAACCTTTTCTTCAAGTATTCAATGGAAGGTAAGCCCAGGCTGTAGAACACCTGTAGAGAAAATGGATGTAAATCAGCACAGTTAGATGTTTGTGTCACATGAGTAGTGCCCTGTTGTGATTAACCTGAAAAGGGAAGCTCGACATTCTGCATTCACACGTTGTCCTTCTCAGTGCGGCAGGTGTCAGTGGAATTCCTTTGCAGAGTCCAAAGAGGTGACACTTTGTACTGAGGGAGGCTTCCTGTGGAAATGCGGATGTGCAGGTAAAGTGTACAATAAAGGCCCTGAGCGGTTTCAGTACTCCCTATTTCTGTATCAACTTCTCAAGACTGAAGGTCTTGACCTTCTAACAGCGTGTGGTCTGTCGTGTTAATTTAACGACACGCTGGCCAAATTCCAGGTGGGGAATCACTGTGAGATGTATCTAAATCCTGATCATGGCTTAGGGTGGGAAAAGGTGCTGCTTTGCTTTCCCCTGCTTGCACGTGCCAGGTGTGGGATTGTTGTGCGTGCCTCAGAAATCACCTGCCGCTGGCTGCCACTGGTGAGGGAAGGGAAAAGGGAACTCCAGCCTGAGCTGGTCTGGCATTTCCCGTGTTCTTACGGAAACCTAATGGTGACTCGTATTTTGTGCGTTCCTTTAACTGACTGCGTGCAACCTGAGCTCCTTGGACGTGAGGCATTTAGAAACAGTGCCACCCTTCCCTGACAGGCAGCTGAATAATTTGAGATTTTCAAGAACTTCCAGATTGCTCACCGATGAAGGTTCTGTATCATCAAATTGCTGGCTGCCAGGAATTGCTAATTGAAATTGGTAAATGAATCTGAGTCTGTTCTATGTTAATAGTGTCTAAAAATGGCATTAAACTAAGAGTTACCAATTTTATGGAATTTTAAACTCAGAGCTTACAGATTCACTTTACCTGATGGGTTAGTTTAAATTCTTCACATTCTTTTAGCTTTTCGTTTATAACTTGTGCCTGGCACGCGCTTATTTCCTATAGGAATTGTGGTTTTAATTAACTTACACTGTCAGCTGTTCAGAGAACCAATATGGAAGAATTTTTTGAAGGGACCATGTAAAGAGCAAAAGAATGCATAAGAAGTAGCAGTTGCTGAGAGGCGCACAAGAGAAACAAAAGGTGCACAAAAATATCTTCCAAGGGTGGAAAATTAGGGAAGGAAGAATGAGTTAAAAATAGCCAGATTTTAAAATTATTTTGTCAATAAAGGAGAAGTACAAAGCAAAGAACAGTGGAAAAGAAACATTTCTCAAAATATCTCTCTATATATAGTTGAGAATTTATGGAGAGTTTGGTGGAAGCAAGATCAAGGTTAAACACCATTATCTATTGTACTGGTTTTAATAGGCCAGTTATTCTAATCGTGTTTAACATTATTCTAATGTTTCCTGGAAATGTGTGGACAAACTACTAACTAATGCATTTAAAAGGACAAAAAATATTTAAAAACATTTGATTTTATGCAGATGGCTTTGAGAATTTACCTAACTGCCCCACTGGATTTTAGAAAAATCATTAAATAAGATTACTTTGATAATAGGAATAGTTATCATTGATTAAAAAATGCTTTGCTGTCAAACCAAGAGAATGTTTTGGCTAACTGGGCAGTTGCTGGCTGAATTCTGTCTAGTATTTAATAATTCAGGTATGTTTATAAAAACTGACCTGAGAGGTTATGAAGACACTCATGGGTGGATAAGAATTAACTTGATAAATGGAAGAAATGGTCCAGAGTTCTAAAGAAGAAGAAGAATTTAAAACACATATAAATTAAAGCCATATATAAATTATTGTTCTTGGTGAGTGAGGGAGAAATGGTATTTCTCACAGGAGTCACTGCGTTACCGCAGAAAGACACCCGAGAAAATTCTAGCAGGTCAGGAACAAGGGATGATGAGCTAATATTGTCACTTGCAAGAGTGTCACATGCTCAGGGCCACACAGAGTGTGTTGTGTGCAGCAAAACCACTCTCTAGAGCGCAGCCTCTTCATGCATTCACACAGTCTCACCCACTTGCTGCCAGCTTACGGCGAAGAAAGGCGCAGCCACTGCTGGAAGCTCCTGCGCCGTCACACGTTACCACCAGTGTCTCTGCATTCGTAGGTCCCCGTGTGCTCGGGGGCAGGCTCGGGGTGTGTGGCGCGGTGCAGAGCTCAGCGAAGGTGCTGGGGGGTGCTCTGCTCCCGGTGGAGGTGCGGGCTGTCTTCTCAGGCCGGCCACTACCGACACTCTGTAACCCCTGTCTCATTGCAGTGTTCAGCTGGGATATTTTTAATGTGTTTTAATTTCAATTTTATCTGCTCCCAGCCAAGCTAATAAGAGCTAAACGTGTTTGGAAGGTTGTTCCACTGTGTTATCATTTTAATTCCTTAAATTATTAATTTGTATCTATGCATGTATATAGTGAATTCTTTGATCTCGTATGTGCAGGTGTGGCAACTATTCTGTATGAATGCCGGCTGGGCTGCCTGGAAAACAACGTCCCACAGCAGACTGTTGAATATATAGAGGCTCTGGAGTTGATGTTTAGTATGTTTAAGACCACTATGTATGCAGGTGCTATTCCCAAATGGCTTCGTCCACTTATTCCAAAACCCTGGAGAGAGTTCTGCAGATCCTGGGATGGACTCTTCAAATTTAGTAAGATTTAGTAGTGGAAAAGTTCAGCTGTATTTCTGCAGGTTCTGTGTGTGTTTGAACAGGACTTGCTGCATTTCTCTTCTAAACTTATAAGAAGACACTGTGGCAGAAGTAAGTTTCCTATTAAACATAGACTGGCCAAGGGAGTTGTTTTAAAAAATAGTCTATTGAAATAGTCTTTATTTGTCTTCATCTGTTTCAGCACCCGGGACACCAGGTCCGAGTTCTTTGCCAAGGCTTTCTCTTAAGCCACTCAGATTTTAATGAGGGTAGTTTTGTTGACTTCAGCAAGTTTTCAGTCGAGCACTCTGACAAATAATCACCACTAAAACCGATTATAAAGTTAAAAAAATTAGACTCTAGCAATTAATTAAAGTCTTTGTGAAGTTTATACATACACATACGAGCACGTAAGTTGACGTAAAAGTACACTGCTGTACTACAGTATGGTTTTTTGTAAATGAAACATTCCAGGCTACTTTATGAATCAGCATCAGCTTTCATGTAAATCAGAAAAAGGAGTGGTCTTTGCAATATATATATATTTTAAAGAAAACTGAACTGTCTTTCCCTCTCTAATGTTGGAAAGCTGCATGCACTTTTTAATTATACTTTATTAGCACTATTTGTCTAGGTCTGTGTATGTCTTCTTGAGGATAGATTCTTTAGTTTCTTAACTTTTAATACAGCTAATACGCTTAAATTTTGATATGTTTTGATCTGTACCTATAGTAAGCTTTAGGGAATCCATTTAATGCTGACACAGGTGTGTGTTCTGTGAACCGTATCCTTTTTTACACTGCCACTTCCAAGTTATTTCCCATGATAAAGTATTCTTGTTCCCTTTTGTGGGTTAAAAACAACAGCAAACTTCAGCTTTATCCTAACTCAGCTGAAAGGAATTTGTTCTGTTTGAAACGTGTTGTCATGCTGTTTCTTTGTTTAATCCCTTTGTGAAAAAGGAATTAAATTGTGAAAATCACTGTATGTGATGTGTGTATTTGTGTAGGTTTCGCACAGGAACACGCTGATTCTAATTAATTGTTTTTGTAAACTCATTCTGCGAGGCATTAACTTTTTGAGGAGTTTTCCTCCCTTTGAAGCCCTTCTTTCACTGAAGTTGCTGTCTGTAGTCATTAAAGTATAAATGGGACTGTGGGTGAAATTGCTCAAAAAGTCATTCATGGAAGTTTTTCAATTTTTATTACTGATGCTCCTCATCTTTATGTTCAGTGCGATTCAGTTGGGTGGCTTTGACCTTCTGGTCACTGCTAACACCCTGTTCCAACCTCTATGTCCTGAGTTGCAGCGCGCTCTGCAGAGTTCACCACTTCTTGCAGAGCCATCAGAAAACAAGCCAGGTGAGGCGTAAAAACTTCACCTTGAGCTTCCTTCGCTCCCCACCAGAAAATACGGTTTCTTGTGTCCTTTCTCCAGGCTCAGCATTCTCGTGCTGGGAGCTGCCATGGTCCCTGTGAGCTCAGCTTTTCCTTACCATGAGTATCCAGGGACCTCCACCACCACCACGCTGTTATCTTTTCTCTGAGTAAATAGATTTGAATGTTTGTGGGGTTTTATTGGCTACATAATGTAGCATAAAGGACAAATGTTATTACTGAATGGATCCAGCAGAAAAACAAAAAAGGAGGCTTAACAATTTTTTTGAATCCCAAAGGTCAAATCCATGTTGACAACAAATTGAAGGCTATTCAGTCTCAGCTGGACCAAGGAGAAGAAGTGAATGGTGGGCTACTTACATACCTCCTAGTGAGTAAGGAACTGACTTTGGAAGAGATCTATGCCAACATGACTGAAATGCTTCTGGCAGGAGTGGACACGGTATGCTTGTCTTGCTCACAGTTGTTTTTTTAAACCAGTACCATTCACAGCTGTCTGGGGAGGGGCAGTTATGTTGTTTGTAAGGACATAATTTTTAATGTTTGTAAGGACATAATGATTCATTCTATGATTCTGTGATAATTTCTGACACATTTAAGTCATAACATCTTTAAAGTGATAGGAAATACAGCACTGTGTAACCTCTCTACTGGAATGAGGTCAGAGTTCTGTTCTAGGACCTATTATTTGGGAATTGGTTCCATAGTTTATTAAACAGATGAAATAGCAATTGTCTTTACAGTTGGCTTCAACTTCATCCATTTTTACTAGTTTGAATATCACGTTGGTATTTATGCTTCTTTAGGTAGCCCACAACAGAAAAGGAGGATGAAAGTTAGTGTGAAAAAAAAGTCGATCAATAAGTTCATATGTAGAGTTTGGTAAATTGTTTTCACCTGTGGCTAATAAAATTACTTGGGACTAGAAGCCCGTGGTAGTGGGGCTCAGTATATGCACAGTATGTTAACACCTAGTGAAGTGTTTTGAGTGGCCACCTTTCCCTAGTGCTCTGCTTTGTCATCTAGAGCATCTGAAGAAACATTGGGGTCCTGTATCTGTCTCCCCCTCTTCTCATTCCTCTCGTGTGGAATCCATGGAGCTTGGTATTGAGTGCAGCACAACAATCAGAAGAAAATATGAACGTCAATGAACGCTGTTTTTTTAAAATTATTGTAACAGAACAATTTTTTTAGAGAAATCTATATGAATTTGATAAAGAAAGTGCTATATAGGACTGTGTTTAATAGTCTTACCATAGAAAAGATTAAAATGAGTAAAAAAATTAAGTAGCCTTAAATTAAAAAAAACTCTCTGGATAATTGAATTCAGATTTATTTTTTTTAAGAAAGGTTTGTAAAGTTTCTAAAGAAAACAAAAAAATGCCAACTGTAATACTTTTAAATTCAAAAATAAGGAGCATATGTAGAGCTCATTTATGTGCCGAAGATTATTCCACTGGCTAAATATCCCAAGGGCTTATGAGTTTGGAGAGCTTTTTGATGTTTGGTTGTTAAGTAAAACAGAGTTATTCATCCCATTCATTTTATAATCTTTGCGACCATTAATTTTCCGTTTTTAGTGTGTTACAGAGTTTTCATTAAACTAAAAGGATGGGGTTCAAGTTCATGCCAACAAGAGTTTCTCTTTCTGTTTGACTTAGTTTTCCCAGCTGGCAACAATCTTTCTGTGAGAGATCGGTACTTCTGATCTCCTCACTTCCAAGTACAAGACAAAAATTGAGGGAATCTTTCTTTTCCCCTAATGCTGTCACTTCAGACCTCATTTTATCATAGAAACTGAAAGAGCTTTAGAGGATTCTAAAAGCTTTCAACCAAATTGCAGGACGTTTTTGTCTACAAAGCATTTTGTCTGTTGCTGGAACAGAATTTTAAGAGGTTATGAAGGAGCTGGGAACGTGGGAAGCAGCAGTGTTTATATCAGAGAAGCTCTGTGTGCAGCTGGCACAACTGCCAGCTCCTCTCAGCTCTGAGAGGAATAGAACAGGGTTGCACTTTAGCAAGGGACAGCCACTCAGTGTTTCAAGAAAAAGTTTCTGAGAATGGTACTTCTAATATTATTCCCCAGTTTGAAGATGAGGCATAGAAGATGACTGCTGTGATGGAATTTGCATTCTGAATTGATCTTAAGTGTAAGGCCAATGTAAGACATTTCCAGAAGCTTGGTTTTTTACCCATACGCTGTTTAGAACCGTGAGCTTTGTTGTGCTAATGAGTGAGAAGCTGAAAATAAAACTGTTCCCTCCATAGAAAGTGAAACTGGTTGTCTGTCTTCATTACATGCTTTAAAATAATTGAAGAAAATTAGGGTAGAGGTTACAATTTTTTCTCTCTTAAATGCTGTAAGGTACTAAGAACAGCATGGGCAAGGAACAGAACGGTTGCATTGTCTCTTTCTCTGCCATACTTCCTCAGGAACACTGAAAATACATTCTTCATGTTAAACTTTCTGTCTTCAGTGGCGGTTGTGAGGGAAACGAGCTCAAGTAAGGCCGTTTGCTTGACCTCAATGTCTTCGGTGCAGCTCAGAGTAGAAGCAAAATGTCCCAAGTCTGTCTAGTGTTTGAGTGGGGTAGTCCCTGAAATCCGTGTAGCTTAAACACAGGGACTCATGATGAGATATGGTAAATAATTGGCTCACAAAACCTTAAAGAGCTTAAATACTCTACTTAATCCATGTTGGTACAGATGGAGCAAGTTTCTGCTCTCAGAGGGAGTCCTACGTCATAAATGTGCATTGAAGTGAGTTTTTCCCAGCTGAGGTCAAAGAGGACTAGATGATGAGTTCCTTTAAATCATTCTGTGCTCAAAGTTGGGCTCTCTCCTGCCTCACGTTTGTTTCTTCTTTTGTACAAATTGGTTTAAAATGATTTTTCACACAGTACATCCTTTCTGCAGCCTTGATGATTATTAGAATCATTAATTACGGGGACGTGTGTGTTCTAACATTTTGGGGCCACTTTAAATACATAAGCTCTTTGAGCTTCCTTAAGAAAGCTTTCAGTAGGACGAGGAATTTGAGTCAGGTGGGAATTAGTATCAGTTCTATTGTGTGCATGCTATAAGGAGACCCCCACGTGCTTAAAAGGAGTTGGTGATGTTGGGAGTTCTCTTATCTCGTTTCAGGTGAAGAAAGGTGAAACACTTACTGAAAACCAACAGTTAACTTAATCCACTGCTGTTTAGAGTGTTTCTGTTTCGGTATTGTTTATGTAGCTTTGTTTGCATTTGTTTTTTCTGTTGCTTTTTATATTTCACCGGGCAAATATCAGCACAGATTGTTTTGGTATGTGGAGGATTTTTAGATGGAAAAGGGATGAAGGAAGGGATAGTGAAGTCTGACAACATCCCATGGAATCCAGATGTGAATCATTGCCAGTCTGTTTTATAACATGAAACATATAACACTCGTAGTTGAAAGCTGATTGTTTTTCTTGGCTTGAATTTGTTTTTAATCTAATCTTGTTGGACTTGATGATGATGGTTGTGGTTTCTTCCTTAGACTTCTTTTACTTTGTCCTGGGCAACATACTTGTTGGCAACGCACCCTGAGGTTCAAAAACGTGTTTATGAGGAAATAGCCAAGGAGCTGGGGAAAGACCAAATTCCTGTTGCTCATGATGTCCCGAAATTGCCTTTGATTAGAGCTGTGCTGAAAGAAACCTTGAGGTAAGTAGCAGAACACTGCAGTCATTAATTAAAAATTTAATTACATGTAGCCATAGTGGATTTTGACTCTGTGCTAATGTTTGTTTTGAATTGTTATTGCTGCTGTTCGCTGCTTCTGCTTTTATTTGTTGTATCATATCCAAGGATGCCTAAGCAATGTTTTTAAGTATGGTGGATGTAGTAGCACATATGTAGGACATGTCTGTCAGGGTAGGTAGTTGAAAGCTTGCTTTTTGCCTTTTCTTTTAGTCTGTACGATGGGCTGTAACAACCTCCTCCCCCACACTGGTACCTTGCAGTGCCACTGCAACCGTTTTAAGCTTCTTGACTTAAATTGAAGGCATGTGACATGCTTTCTTCATATGTTTATACCAGGCATTCATAGTGAGGTGAGGGGTGTAAGAGGATTTTAGAGAAGGCATCAACAAGGCTTTCTCAGCTTCCAGTAATGCTAAAACATCTACAGCTTGACCAACTGATTGCGTGTTTGTACATGTGTAAAGCAAATAAATATATAGACCAGACAGCTGAACCTCCACTTGCTAGTAAATAACTTTTCTCAGGTGTTAATCATATTTTCACAAATGATTCAAGGTCCTTGAATCTCAGGGCATTCTGTGCTTTTGAATAACCTTTTTGCTGTGAATGCATGTTACATTCATATTGCGTATTTGTGAACGCAAGTTGGAATCTAAAATTTTAAGTTATTATTGTTGAACTTCACATAATTATTTGTCTCTAGGTTATATCCAGTATTGCCAGGAAACGGAAGAGTCACCCAAAAAGACTTGATTGTTGGAGGCTACTTGATACCTAAAGGGGTAGGTTCTAGCAGAGTCCTCTGCAGAGAACACAGTTTAGTTCTTGTTTATGCAATGAGGTCTTTTACAAGATGTATATACTTTGTTGATTTCAAAGGATTTCACGAAGCTAGAGCATTAAGAGAAAAGTATTTAAAAAATACCCATTTATATGACAAAAATGGGGTTTGCAATTGACTTGGTGGTTGTGGGTTTTTTAGGTTTGAGTCCTCACTCACTAATCAAATTTATCATCATGACTTGATCTTAACATTCTTGAAGGTGCAGTCTATTAGTAGCATCTTGGTGCAGTGTTACAGTTGAATTTCATTATTCTTGCAGCTTTCTATTTCTTTGCCTGTTAATTCCTTTTCTAGGAAGAGTTTTGTTTCCTTTTAAAATTATGAATCTTTCCTTTATACTCTTCAAAGATTGCACAGAGATCATGTAGAACTGTGTGGCTCTATTTTAAATGGCAGCACTGCTATGTTAAAACAACATAGCTTTAAAAGAGCAAGGTTTCTTAATTCTTAATATACTTATTTAAACATTATGAACACACACTGGCCCCCGGATTTGTTTGGAAACATCATCACATCAATCATTGCTGCTTTTTTTTCCTGAGGTGTTGTGGGTTTTCTTCCTTCCCATCCTCTCTTTTTTTCCATTTCCATTGTCTTGTATCTCTCTTCTTCCTTTCTCTCATAATGTCTTTTTGAGACAGTTCCCAATACTTGTGACTTTTTTCCTGTCTTCTTCCCCACTGCATCTTCTCTAATATATCCCTCAGCATTTTAAACAATTTGAAGATTATTTCATTTGACCAGTTGAGAAAGAGATCTGATTTCCTACATATCCTCTTTTCTTATAGAATTATGCCAAGATACATAATTTTTCTTACCTCATTGCAGAGATTACAGTAATTACATTTTTTTTAATGTTTTAATGCATATTTGAGTTAGCTAAATATAAATTTAATTTATTTCCTCAGACGCAGCTGGCACTCTGTCATTATACTACTTCATACAGTGAAGAAAATTTCTCAGTGGCAAATGAGTTCCGACCCGAGCGCTGGCTGAGGAAAGATAATTTGGACAGAGTAGACAATTTTGGTTCCATCCCCTTCGGTTATGGCATTCGAAGTTGTATAGGAAAAAGAATTGCAGAGCTGGAAATTCATCTTGCGCTGATTCAGGTTAGAACTATATGACCACATTACAAGAAGAAAAATATATTGGTATGATTCTTTCCCGTGTATACCATTTCTGGATATCTTACAGTACTCAAAACCTTTGTTTTGGAGTGATGTAAAGCATAATTATCCTGCAGAGGCTAACAAATTGAAAATAATCATGCTTGAAATGTAGCGTCCTAGCTAAACTACATTGCAGAAGAAAAAATCTTTGTAGTACCAATGAAGTAAAACTAAAGGTAAGATTGTTAAGGAAATACATGGATTTAGCACAGAAAGTTTCTGTGAGTATAATTTCTTAATGTATATTAGAATGGTTACGGGCTCAGTTTCAATATTTTGCTTATGAAGAATTCAGTACTTACAAAGAGATAAAACTGACCACAGTCTTATGCTGAATAGTAGAGTTCTTCTGTTCTGTGGTGTCCTGTCCCTTTTTGTTCTTTCTTCTAACTTCATTATAATTTTAGATACACATAACTTTTATAAGTAATTAGTAGATATTGATACATGTTGATTTCTGTTGCTTCGTATCATAAAGAAAGCTTTCCCAACAGGCTGCTACATTTTTTTGTCATTTACAACATATCTTTCAGCTCAGATACTGAGATCAGATTATGCAACCAAAAGGCAAAGATCTGGAAACTATAGTTACTTAACTATAAAAATATTTAGATAACGTATTCAAAGCAAATCTTGATTGAATTTATCTTAGAATTTCCTTAAGTAAACACCTAGAGCAGTCTCTGAGCCATTAGCATGTGCCTTTCGGAACTCAGAGCGAGATAGCTCTCGGGGGGGGGCGAGGGGGCTGGGGGAAAAAACACACTTGCCTCTTTTTGAAAATGAGGATCAAGGAAGTAATAGCTTTTGTTTTCTGGATAGAAACCAGAACAAAACAACGCACAACCTATTTATAAGCATCGAAATGATATTTATGTGTTTTAAAAACAGGAACACATGAAACATGGAGCTTAGACCAGTCTGATTTCTTTCTTTGACTCAGTCACTTACTTAATGTGGTGAATATAAAATAAATCACGTACTCTGACTCCAGAAAGTATTTTCACGTGTCCTATACGTTGTTCTCACAATTAAATTAATAAAATTGGTTCCAGATGGAAGTACCTATAAAATGCATTCACAAGTGGTTGGAAAAAAGAAATAGCTGGAGGCAGTAGTTGTCAAATATTTGCTCTTGAACTGGGAAACCATTTAATTAAAATTCTGTAAGAGTCTGTCCTGCATTTGATTTGGGTTGATATTTTCATTAACGGTGTGGATTAGAGGCTATTTTTAGAGTTTATATAAGGTACCAAGCTGACATGAATTAAGTTAAAATCAAAGAATGTGAATAGAGAATTACAAAAAAATGGAGGTGAGTTCCAAAATCAACACAACGTTGTTCACTAAGGACACTTTCCAGTTACTGCTCTTGAGAAGAAATCAAATGCATAAATACAAATTCCTGACCAACTGGCTGGGTAAATGGTAAAGTAGAAACATACTGGAGGAATATCGTAAAAAATTGGTCAAGAGTAATGATGCTTATTCTGCCAAGGCAGTGTAATCCTTGGACAGTACTAACAAGAGTGTTGGATGTCGGGAGCTAAATTACTCAGACTTACCGAACACTGGTGAATCCTCAACTGAACAGTGATACACAACTGACCCTGTGTGCTGCATTTTAAGAACAATAGTCAAATTGGAGGAAATTCAGAAGACAGAGAGAGTAACAAGAATGAGAGGTGTGAAAAAGAGAAGGAGATGAAAATTTGATCAAACATTTAAGACTAAATAGATAGTTATCTATAGGAAAACAGTGATTACTAGGAGAAGGATAAGAGAAGGATAAGAGAAGATTGCTTAGTGTTTATAAGAAAAAGCGCTTGAGATTTAACATTACGAAAAGTTTAAGATGATGTAGTATTTCCGTCTTGCAAGTTTAAAAATAGGTACTCTATAGTCATCTTCAAAATGGGTGAGGTAAATCTCCTGAAGTTTGTTTTAGCCCATGATTTCTGCGATTTGTGTTTGGAGCTGATTCTCTCTATTTCATCAAGTGTATGGAAACAGGTTTAATGTGTAGAGAACCTGTGTGACTGAATTACAGTGATTCTGTTCAGGAGATGTTGTAATATTTGGCTCCTTGAATTATGATCATTTCACTTGGTGCACTGGACACTTGCTGCCTTGTGTTTGTTTTCTTTCCTTCTGCCCAGGAAGAGACCTGTACCCGATGGCATTGGGACTCTCACTGGTTTGTTTTGTAGTTACACATGCTGAGTTATATTAAAGGAAGTGAAATCAAACACACATAGAGAGGAAGATCATAAGATTTGAAATAGACCTCATCTTCTTCGATAGCTCAGACTCTTTAATCTAGTTGTGTGAAAATTCTTCAGAAAGTACTGGCTTAGTCCTTCCTCAGTCAGAGGAGGAGGATTTTTAACTATAACCTTCACCTTGTAACAACTACTTTTTCTTTCCTGTGTGGGAATCATGGTGTTTTGGTTTCACAGAAATGGCAACAGAAATTTTATTTGTAATAGTCTGTTTTGTTCTCTTTTCCAAAGTTTTAATCTTCCTCTGTAATTTTGCAGCTTTTCTAATACTTGTCCTGTTTATCTTCACAGTTGCTTCAGAATTTTGAGATCAAAATTTCTCCCAAAACTGAACCGGTTCGTGCCAAAACCCATGGACTTTTGACTCCTGGTAACTCCATCAATGTGAGATTTTCTGACAGAAAGTGAGGCTCAGATGTTTTGGAAATACTTGTGCATTTTCCTGGGAACAGACGTGCATCTTCTGGATGTGTAATCATGCTTGTTCTCTGGTTTGCAGGTATTAGGCGAAACAGTCAAACGTTATGTTCTGCCTTAGTTCTGGCAGTGTGTAAAAGAAATTACCTCTCCTATAACAGCAGATTCCTTCCTGCACTGGGAATCTCCCTTTACTTGGAAGGATTTCTAGTAATAAGAACACATGCCTTGAAAAGAAAAATAAATTTAAATTTTGACATGTTGGTATCATTCAGTGATTTTGTTACACTGCTTTGTTAAAGAAGTCAACTACTCAGTGAGTCTGCCTGAGAGCAAGGGGATTACTATGTAATATGTGAAAATTAGCTGCATTTATGAGTTTGCATTTTCATGTTTTTGATCTCTGGAGTTTTTAAAAGTTTCCACCTAACACTGAAATTATGAGATCATTTTTCTCTTGTCTGTAAAAACATTTACTCTGAGTGTATTAAAAAATCAATACAGTAATATGAAAAGTAAAGATAGAAAAAATACAATTTATGTCACTTTGTTTAGACTCAAAATACAGAACAATTAAAAATTTCTCCAAACATAATACCCATCAAATGTTATAATTTTTTTTAAATACAAAAATCTTAAAAATAAAAGTTTAAATGTCACATTGCAGAGTTATGAATCCAGACACTGTCCTCGTCACCAAAGTATAAGCTGAGTGGAATAGCACAAGCCACTTTCACTGTTCTAGCTGATATTATTCCAAACCCAAATGTAAATAGTAAAAGTGAAGTAGCTGTTGCATTTTTACCATTTAATTAAATGACTATTAACTATCTTCGAAGTTCTTCAACAGTAAAAACTGGAAACTTCCCACTGTAGCGTGCTGAACCCATAGGCAGGTGCACAGTTGCCTTCTCTAGGATGGAAATGTGACTACTGAAGTATTCGGAGATTTTTTACTATCTAGTAGTGTCTACTACAAATAGTGGACATCAGAAAGGGTTTTTTTAATTATTATTTTGTTTTTCCTGTAACAACTAACAGAAGAGTCTCCCTTGCATGATACTTTAGTCTTTAGATAACTTTAGTATCAGTGCACTAACTTTATGTTCTCCTTTTGAGAGAAACCTTATACCTTGGGGCCATGTTATGCCTTGAACAGCGCTCAAACCTGCATATCTTAATATGAAATTAACTGTGTAATTATGTGTAGTTAACTGTTTACACGTCAGGCTCTGACTGTTGTTTTGTGAGGTAGTTCACCTGCTGATAATGATAAACTTGTTGACCATACGCAGAGTGAGAAAACAGTAGTGCGACTCAGTTTTTAAACTGACAATATTTTTCTTTGCTCATCTAGCTGTAAGAAGTCAGACAGGTCACGAATTAAAGAACACACTGAAGTTGTACTGGTGTGTATGAAATTCTGCACAGATAACTACTACAGTCACACTGGTGTAGTATTCTGGTTACTTCTTGTAGTGCCTTTTTAAGGTCTCGATAAAAGAAAAACAAAAACATCTCCTTTGTGTGGATCTCGTATATAAAAATAGTAACACTAAAGAAAATTGATCTGATCTATGAAAAGATTAAATGCTTACATGATGACTCTAAAACGTGAATCCTATATTGAGCGTATGTGTACTGTAAGAAAAACAGGTAATCCGTGGTGTTTTTTACACGAATGAGCTTGCCTTCTGATACAGTTTTCCAGGGCTTCACATTATTCCTTTTTTTTTTTTTTTCTTTCCCATTCTTATTTCCAATTGTCCCCATCTTAGATAGAATGAGGAGAGTTATATTTGCCGGAGGCAGCTGACCTCCCAAAGGAGATGTTTTGTAAAGGTCTGTTTAAAAGCCCATGGACTGAGTATTTGACTCCGTAACTGCCTGGTTTGGTTGACTTGGGAACCAAAGAGCCCAAGCCCAGAATCCAACTTTGGCTGTGTGGTGCCCTCCTTTCGCGTTGTCGCAGCAGCATTAGAAACACCAGCAACTGCGGTGTTGGCGGTACATTTGCTCCTTGGTGTCTGTCCGTAAGTAATACATCACTGCAGAAGAGGGAAGAGGCCTTCTGAGATTCTCTTCAAAGCATGTGCATCTCTTCATGAAAAGAGAAAGTCTATGATTTGTTTGTAATAGAGCATCTATCCATGTAAGTGTCTTTTATACATAATAAAATATTTATACAGAATCTACAAGTCTTGATTCTTAGTTTAATTGCTATTTATAATTGCTTTTTTTTAGCATCCTAAAGTTTTTGACTTGTTGGATAGGACTGGAAGATTCAGTGCTACACGGGAAATTACTAGTTCAGCTAGAAAGGATGGAGATTCATACAAGAACTTAAGGTGTGTAACCACCTGGCTGAAGGACAGACAAAATTATATTAAGAGTACTGTCATATTGGAGGAATGTTACTGGCAGAGTTACCCAAGTTATATGCTAGGACTGATTCTAGTGTTTTGGTTAAAGATAATTGCTTAATACATAGGAGAGTATTAATGGTATAAAGAAAGAGTGAGGGCATAAAAATAGAAAAAAAAGAACACCAAAAAACAGCCAAAAGAACCCAGAATGTAATAGAGATGAGATGGAATTTAATAACAAAATACACATATTCAGGGAATGAAAAAGAACTTTTCTGAGGAGCTCACCAGTTGAAAAAGAAATGTGTAGGATGGGTAATCACAGATGACTAGAAATTGCAGGTGTGTGGGAATAATGAAAAATACAGCCTCGAATGTATGAGATGAAGTATCTTTGATGGAGACTGGGGGAAAGTAGGCGAGACTGCATTGGAAGTGCTATGTACAGTGTGGTTGTGTGTTCAGGAAAGGTGGAGTTTGAACAGGTAAAACACCTGTTAAGATTGTCAGTTTAATAAAGTTTCTTTGAGTAGAGAAAGGGTTATACTGCAATGCTTTTTGCTCTGCCTTCCTGTGGTTTAAGCAGAAACCTCAAGCCCTGGCACATCTGGAAGCTGTGTAACCATGAACTTAGAAGAACTTTTTCTTTGCACCCGAAACTGTGCTGACTTGATTTTGCTCCTAGCTGGATACTGTAGCAGGTGGTGGGAACACAGATGTCTGCAGGAGACTAAATGTATCCTCAAAAACGTTCTTGTACTTAGTCTAGAAAAGTGAATGCTGAGAGAGGAGATAAATGTTCTCTTCCAGTCAAGTTAAGGTGTTTCCTCCTTAAGGTGACGGGTCATGCTTGCCCAAAGCAGGTATCACCAGCTAGCAATGAGTAGACTGGCGTGGAAAGTTTCACACTGGCAGGAGAATGAGTTTAGAACAAATTTACTCTGAGAAATGGTGAAGACAAAAAAAAAGGGAAATCCCCAGCCAGCCATGAAATGATGAATGATGGAGCACGGTAAGAATTCTATAAAGTGATTGTTTAACCAGGATCACTGTATTCCCTTGGTTCTCTGTTTTTTTTCTTACTCTGTTGTAGGCGCATAGGCATGGAAATAATCTGTGAAGGTCAGTGTGAAGGAGTCACAACTCCAGCAAAAGTATATGTCAATAGCGAATGAAATTTAGGAGCTCCTTAAATACCCCAGCACTGATGAGGGCGTGAAGATGAGGAGTAGCGTGCTGGGCAGCTGTGAACCTGACAGAAGTAGGCGCTGAGAGTGTGTTTGGAGCCAGAAGCAGAAGAGCTGTGCTGTCATGCACAGGACTGGGGAAGGGGAGCAGGAGAGCCACCGACTGGGGGCTTTGGGACTACACCAAATAGATCATCGGTGGGAGTGTGCCTGAGATTAAAGGTGAGGAACTGGAGAGGTGAGCTTTGGGCTGAGTGTAGGATGGAGGAGGGCAAGAGAAACGGGATGAGGCGAGGACAGTTTGGGCACCTGACAGATGTGCTATTTGCACCATGTACCAAACCCAACAGCAACAAGAACAGGTGGATGATAAGGTGATTTAAAATTCTAGGACAGATGTATATGTACAGACGCCAGTACTGTCACTGGTGATGGTTAAGTCCAAATAGTCTAAGTGGACGCTTCTGATTTTTGCCTGGTGATCATCTGGGTCATGGACTGTACCTGCTGAAGCAGGAGAATCATAGAACGGCCTAGGCTGGAAGGGACCTTAGAGATCATTTAATCCAAACTGTGGTTCACTGGGTTGTATGTTGGAAAGTATTAGGGAAGGGGTCCAAAGCTGGTGGATATTTTTCTTACTCATATACAGGTTTTCATCTAAATTTTACATCAGCAGTAGTAAATAATAAAGTTAGATGAGAAGGTGTGAGGAGTAATTATTTTAATACCTGAAAAATTTTTAAATGTATTTTTATATATGTGCCTATGCATAAAAAAATATTTAATCCTCTGCTTAATATACACTCCCACATACTTTTTTCCCTTTAAAAGAGTATTGACACAGAAAGTAAGTAAATGTATACCCAGAGCCTGAAAATATTATTTATTCATGTTCATGGTGAATTAAAAAAAAAAAAGACCAAAACACGTCTATGTCATTTGGATATTTTAAAAATATTTCCATCTGAGAGTTTCCCCCGATGATTTCCAAAGCAGTGTTAAGGAAACCACTGAAAATACTGCACTGTGGCCTTGGCACCACTAGATGGTGCTGCCTTTATAGTATTCCTTAGGAAAAGCCAGTGGTTATGTACCTGGGAAACAAAAAATTACAGCTACAAGCAGTGTACTTACTATAGCTTCCTGAAGATAGAGGGGTTTCATTGCATTTTTTTGACAAGGACTCCTAGCCCTGGCATGTGTAAACGTGCTCGATTTGTGTTCATCTTTTGCATACACTTGTTTAAAATGGGAATTTGCAGGGAAGGAACAGTACAGGGCATCCCAAGCGTCGCACCGGCCTTGTTAGAGACGATCCAGCCTTGGCAGCCCTGTGTGCCTTCCGCCGAGATTTGGCTTTAACAGAGTTTGGTGATCACTGAGCTTTGGCGCTCTACTCGCTATCATGCAAAATTCAAAATAAAGACAGTTTCTA